AAAAGCAAAATCCCAAACTCAGTCTCTTTGCTGCTTCAGACCATGGCTGCTTTCCTTGTCCCAGCTGTAGCTTCGTGCCTGTATTGCATGGCAGTTTCCAGTCCCAGGTTCAGGTTTCAAAGAGCACAGGTTTCTATTGCAAGTCGGTCTCGCCTTGATCACACCCTGGCTACAGCAGAGCCTGCTCTTGTGAGATTTGAAATTTGCTTTTCTGCTTTTGCTTTCAGCCCTTTCCTGGGAGGCAAAAACAAAAGAAGAAAAAGGCTTTTACTGAGTATAGGCATTTGCTGCAGTGACCCCGTGGTAGCTTGTATGTATCTCAGTACCTCAGGCAGGGGCTGCAGGATACATTTATTATATACACAGTCACATTTAAGAGATTGAGATTTAAATTAAAGATGCTTTTTGGTAGATGTTAAATAGAATCCCAAAGTGCTCATTGCATCTACCCTTAAACCTTGTCTTCCCTTATCCCTTGCCTGCTCTACCCGTGAGAAGACAAGAAAGACTTGGGATTTATTGTGGTCCTATCTGGCAAGTTCACTGATGGTCAGTACAGTGATTTGCACTCATTCAAGCAGGGCTGGACCATGAGATTTATTTCCTGTGAGGAGCCATTCTTCAGGGCTGAGGAACCCTGAGGTTTCACAGAAATTCAATACTCATCTGCCGTCATGGCTCCAAAACATTGGGGGTGGGGAAATGAAGCGGGTATTAGCCTTTCTCTGTTTTTTGAGTCACCTTGTAAAATCCCTCAGTAGGGTTAAAATTCTCAATTAGATCATACAAAGCTGTCCAAATGACCAGCAGAAATGTTTTCATTTCCTTTGACAGTTGACAGGACCTGTCTATTTTGGAGGGGCTGCCTGCGATGCAGCACAGTGAGCTGTTTCCCTCTAGGTTCATGACAAAATTTTCAGTGGCTTAGAGATCGCCGCACGATACTCTCAAGCAAGTTCATTCCTGGTAGGGTCCTCTCAAAGATACCAAACTGCTGGAAAAAACATGATCCCTTTTGGTCTATTTGCTTCTGTGTATATCTTTTACCTATTGATCCATTAACCCAGTTCCACGTCTGAGTAGTTTACTAAAAATTCAAGTGCCGAAGTGCTCCGTGAAACAATGAATCCAATATCCCATGAGATTTTTTTCTCCAGCAGATTGTAAACACTTTTTCCAGTCTCACTCGCTTTCTTGGTCGGCTGACAGGGCATAAGTTCCACGCGGGGCAGGTTTCTATTCGTGAACATAAAAGGGAACGAGGGGGCTGCACAGCTTGATCATCATTATTTTAAGTAATGAAAGAATGAAAAGATAAATATCCCTCTTGTCCGTCTGAGAACTAAAGAGGCTTCACTTCCCATAGCACTCCAGGCAGGGGAGAGCCAAGGGCTCATTGACTGTGCACAAAGGGACTGTTCTTAGCAGGCTCCTCCCGGCAGCTCCGCAAGGCAGCTATTACCCAGCCCACTGAAAGGCCGAAAGATGGAAAATGGAGAACCTGAAGGGCCACGAATAAAACCCGTCCGTGTTAGGGAACCAGCCTCATCAAGCTCTTTTTGGTGAGCAACCAGCTGGGCTGCCAGGGCCTGAGATCCCAGTGACAGACAAGATATAAGCTGTGCGAGTTTGTATTTCAGGCTTCTGTCAAGGAAGAACTGTTTGGTTTGGAGGGAGGAATGAGCTGGGAGAGTGGAAGAGGAAGGGAGGCATCAATATAGTTATTAATTGTTGTATGTGGTACAACCTGCAGTTCCTTTCTAAGAAAGTGGTAAGTTAGTCATCAGCAAGAGGGTCCTGCTGCCTGTGTTTGCTCCACAGGAGCAACCCTCAACAGTGAAGAAAATACAGCCCTGTGCGGAGCCAGGGGCTCTGGTGTACTAAATACATCAAGGTCACTAAAAATATAAAGATAGGGCCAATTTCCATCTCTTTTAATGCTCAAACAAATTTGGATGTGCTTCACTTTACTAGAGCTCAGCACACACTGAAGCCACTGTGGCTTCATTACTTTTCTTTCTCAGAGTCAGTGCCCAGTTTCTTAAGCCTCTTCTGTTTGACATTGTCTCTAGACCTCACCAAGAAGTGTCGGTAGTGATGTTCGTAACACAGAGATGTTTTAGCAATGGAGAGCCTCTATGGGCTTTCACTTAAAAGAATGAAAACCGTGGAAAAGGTAGCTGAGGAAGCAGACACAAACTGCCACCACTTTCCTCAGTGTCAAGTCATTATTTCAGAAATGTAGTATTTAAAATATCTCTTCTGTGGGTCACAAAACCTCATAGAAATGAATCATTTTTATGATCACTTTTCAAAGGCGGCAGCTGAAATTGCACAGATTTGTAAGTCAGACAAAAATCTGAATTTGTCCAGGCAAACACTGGGTAACTGTGCAAACAAGATAGATTAGGGCATACCCCAAGGCCTGCTAGGGAATATTTTTTAAAATGTGCTCATTATTTGCTCATTATTACTGTGCAATTTGAATATACTTGGGTTGTCACCAACATACACTTTTGCACTGTGACGATAATAATTAACCAATCAATTCTAGCAAATAGATGCAGGAGAAAAGGAATTTCTTACTTTCTATATCTTGCAAATTCTATCCCTTTCCAAGTCCATATTTCAGAGTAAAGAGTCCCAAAAGAAAGCAAAACGTCAATCAGGAACACATTTTTCAAAATTAAAAAAATATTTTTTTGGTTATGAGCAGGATGCTACCTTCTCAAATGCAGCATGGAGCCATGCTGTGAACTCCTCTCTGTGGCTTTTGGGAAAGGAAAAGCATACTTGTGCTACAAATTATTACTATGGTAGAGCATGCTGTGGTCCATGTTCAGGATTTCCAGATATTGAACTGCCCATACTGAAATTCTTTGCATCCATAAATCTAGCATGCCCCCTGAGTGAATCAAATTTACTGCGTGCTTACAGCAGCCAGAGATGCTTAGACCCATGGAAAACAGTGTGTTCTTGTGCTAGGCACCTTGCAAAGACAGAACAAGAGGAAGCATCTGCCTCTAGAAAATTGAAACCTCAATAAGAGAGATCAGTAAAGAGTGAAGGAAGACTATGTGTGGAGTAAGCACTGAGGGAAGGACTGAAAGGCATTGCAGGAAAAAGTCAGGCTGAATGAGAAAGAAAATCTCCCTGGGGATACAAGAAATTATTAGTCTTGTAGGAACTGCTTGCTGCAAGGGCTCTGACTAGCTGTTTCAGGTGGATTTTTGAAAGCTACAGAGCACAAGAGGCTCAGTACAAAGCACAGCCCCTTGAAAGTGAGCAATGCCTTGCATTTTGGGGGACCAAAATTGAGGTTAAGGAAGGCCTGGCACCAGCTGGATCCTAATTTCTTCTCTTTTGCCCAAATACTGTTGATATGCAGCAACAGAGCAAGACTGGCATGTACAGCTTGTGCAGGTAGACACTGTACAACTGGAGAGGATCAGTGCATGTTTGAAGATCTCATCGCAGGCCAGGGCAACATTTGCTTGGTTTTTCCCTAACGTTTTGCCTCTGTATTTTCACTGTATTAGGAAAAGACTGTGGCAATATGATGCAACATGCAGCGATCCAGTCAAAGTATGCTTCTTGTTTATATAAAGGCTTTGGAGCAAAACAAGCCTTACAAGAGATTTCAACCTCAGCTCCTGAGTGTGATAGTGCAGACATCATTGGTTCAGATGACTTAAAACCAGGCATCTCACAGTTTAAAAAGGCTGCTTACAGAGTGGGTGCAGACAGCTTATATTGGTCCAGGTGCAACCAGGCATGTACTGAACAGCCATATATTCCTTTTTTCCTGCATGACAGCAATACTATGGCAGTCCTCTGGTATTTTGGGAAGAAAAAACAGAAAACAAAAAAATACAGTATGGAAAGGAGAAGGGAAGCAGCAGCATGCTGGAGCTGGAGGTAAGGGAGGTGATAGCAACTAGTGATCTCTGTTTGGCTGCTCTGTTGCTGTAGAGGGAAGGGGTCCTCTCTCCTCTGATCCCTCCAGGCTGCACGATGGCTGCTCTTTGCTCCCCATCTCTCTTACAGAGAAGAGTTGATGCTTCTGCATGCACGAGGCTCACAAATGGCTGCTGGAGACGGGTAACTGTCCTTGTCATCCCTGGCCTTGATAGCATCAGTCTCATGCTCCTTAGTGAGAAGTGCCTTTCCCCCCTGCTCCCCACAGAGAGTGCAGGTGCTGCAGGAAGCTGGCGCAGGTCTCTGGAGGTGCCTCTCCCTCCCCGAAGAGCACACAAGGAACCAAGGCTGGCACCTTCCTGGCCTGGACCACTCAGCAAAGTGTCTGCAGTGAGGCAGGAAGCATCCAGACTAATGGCTTTTTATGGGCAGGAAGGGCAAACGCTGATTTCGTGAAGATTTCTTGGAGGCTGCCTTCCTGCCTCCCAGTTGAGTCTTCTCCTGCCAGATGAGCATTTCTCTCATTTGCACTCACTCTGACTTAGCTGCCTTGTTTTCAGTAATCTTCAGCAACAATTGCTCCTGCAGAGGAATCTCTATGACAGGGTAATTCTCCATTACATAGTAACTTGCTTAGTCAGTACATTGCTAAGAAGAATTGACAGGCCTAGGGGACCTGAATGCTGCTGTCTGTTCAGCATTTAAAGCACTGAGGAAAGCACTGCCAGCTCAAAGCCTAAGATCAATGAAGCTGAGCAGAGTGCTCAGAGTTTTCATATGGAAACTTAAAACACGGTCCAAATATGCAGCTTCTTCCTTATTTCATTGAATATTTTCCTTGTTTTCCATATCTGAGCCTAGAAGCTGATTTTCCCTCTGTCCTGTTGAATACCTAGACCATATTGGGTTGAAATACTATGGCTATCAGTCCTTTTCCAACATTTGAACCCTATTTGCATGAACAGACAATTCTGGAGGGATACAAGCTGTATACTCACACTATACCACCTGGTCTTTGACTGCAAATTCATCATCAGTCAGAAATGAAACAGCCCTCTTGACTAGATCTATTGTTTTTTCAGGCTGTGGATTCCTCCTATATAGACACCTGATCTGCGGAAGGGAGGAGAGGCTGAACCGGAGCTTACGCTCTGAGCCTAGAGACTGACCCCTGTCATCAGTGGCATTGCCTCCCTCGAGGAAATACTTGACTTGGAAAAGCAGAAAGAAGAGAGAGCTGCAGACAAAACACCTATTGTTAGTGAGAGCAGCCTGTTGAGACGTTGTGGCAGAAAATGCTTACAAAGCAGATATTGATCCATCTCACAGGTGAAAGGTATAATTAGGCATGCAGTCAAGGCCTGCAAGATCCAAGACAAGATCTTCTGATGAAGGAAGGCCCTTGATACGTCAAAGGGTGCAGGAAGCACATGTATGAAATCAATAGAGTGCATCAGAGCTGATAATAATGACAGAAGATTGATTATACTGCAAATGATAGAACGATTCCCTGGGAAGGTGAGTGCTCAGGTAATGTGTTTTTAACTTTTGAAGAAAATCTGCAAAAAAAAAAGAAGAGGTATAGGTATTGAAACCAAATGCTGTTTTGAGCTTTACAGGGTTAGGTGAGGCAGAAGCTGGGACAGAACCAGACATTCTGGAAATCTGTGAATTTTTTGCCTACAAGAAACATCAGGAACACATTCCCAAAAAATAACTCTCATAAGTCTAGAGACCAGTTGTTCCCTTTGTACTATAACGAACCGCAACTGTTATTACCACATGCAAGGTTTGCTTGTTCAGGCAAAATAGTATTGAATGTATTGCTTGTAAGTTTTAATCTGTTTACAGGTTTAACTAGATAAGCACACAGGATTATTCTCACGAGTAAATATTACAGGCTTGATTTTCACAGTTCAAGCTCAGCAATCCATCCTTCTTCATCGCACTGCACTTTTCGTGCCACGCGTGTGCTGAATTGAAGGAACTTAAGTGTATGCTTTTGAAGCTTCGCTTAACTGGAACCTGACTGAATCAGAACAGCAGAAAAACACCTCTTGCCTAGATAACAAAGTCTGTGCTGTTTAAGAAAATGCCAATGACAGAAACTTTTTATTAAATACATATGGCAATATTCCCCATGATCCTTTCATGAATTACAGATGCAGAGGGTCATTCTCTTCTGCCTTTCAAGCAGGTTTAAAAATGAACCGATGCTGCTTAGCTATATGCTGGATGAGTGCATCTCATTTTATTTCCTGCCATGCATAAGACTTAGCTAAACCCTATCCATTTGTTGTATATTGAGGCAGGGAATGTGTATATGGGTATATATTAATAGATAAATTTTATGGGCATATTTTATATACAAATAAGACATTTGTTGTTTCTTTTTTTTTTCTTCTCTGAAACTGCACATCACTTCCTTTTGTTTTCCCTCATTTCTTGAACATTCTTTCATTTACTTTTTCCTTCCCTGTCCTTTCCCTGACTTCCTCCATGTGTGTCCATTACTCATGCTGTCTTCCCATACTCCCTTTCTTCCTTTTCCCACTCTTCTTTGCTGAATTACACAAGAAGCCTCTTCAGGTTTCTCTGTGCCGGCATAGTTTCTCGTTAGGAAATATGCAAATATGTGAAATCTTTGACTTTTTGTGCTGGCAAAAACACTATGTGCATTCTGCACATACTTGGTCCAGCCTGTCCTGTTCAGCAGTGTGAGATCTTGCCCTTTCATCTGCTGTGGCTAGTCATTTTGCTCAAATAAAGGTGTGGAAACCACATGCTAAGCAGCTGCAATGTACAATCACTGTTCAAACGCTGGCCTAGACAGTTTTCTAATCTTGAAGAGTATAGTGTCCATCAGCATGGAGCAGAGGCATAAGAAGGAGTTCTCAGACCAGCTTCAGCATCTTAAGATGTATGCAGAAGGGTTATTCCCCACTTTCTTAAGTCAGAAAGGATCACAATGCACTGCAGGAAGTAGAAGAGGAAGAGAAGTGGAGCCACATAAGGAGACGTCCGTTCCAATGGGAAATGAATATGGCTTTTTTAAACTGTTTTGAATTTTAGAGTCCCTTGTATTAGCAAGTGCACCAATAACAGCTAAATCAGGGCACTTCAGGTATACAAGTTGCACACACTTATTAAACTTGACATTAAACAAACTATATTCTTTTTCTATGCTTCTCCCTTCCTGGTTGACCCCATGCTGTTCAATCCTACTGTTGTGTCCAAGAGATGCCCTCAGGGAAATAAATTTGTTGTAAATCCACAGTTCCAGCAATAAAGTCTCTGTCTTCCGGAGATGACCTTCTGACTATCTCAAATAAGAAAAGATTTATGACAAGAAATTTCTTGGGCTTGGTCTTGAGTGGAAGGTCTGGGAAAGTGCTACAGAAAATAAGCAGTCTGAATCTTCAGGTCAGTATTTGGAAGAGTAAGCCAGATTCTATCTTTAAACCTATCTCACATTTATCTTCCCCTTCTGACTCATAAACTTCTCATACCGACATTGCTAATGTTACCTCAGATTTTGAGTTTTGACCTCTGCTGAAAGCTACTTTGGTACAGGTGAGGTTGCAATGTACTTTCTTTCAAGTTCTTTAAGGATCAAATAATATTTCTTGAGAATTTTCAGCAATTTAGCAATCAGCTTCAAGAGAAGCAATACCCTAGTTCAAGTTTCACTTTGTGTCTTTAGAAAGGAGAACACAATAGTACACGTTATTGTATACAGACTTCCACAGATTCAGGTTGATCTGGCAATCACTTCCCATTTCCACTTTTACAGGGAAGTGTCCCTTCCTTTAGGATATCTGTGTTTCACCATGTTGTTCGGAGTCCCTCTCACTCAATTTTGCATTTGTCTCACAGGAGGTTTCCTGTCAGAGCACAGAATTTATTTCTTCAGGAATGAAAACCTCTTCTGGTCTTTTAAGCATTGATAGGAAGCATCTGGTACTCTAGCTCATGGGATATGTTTTCAGATATTCTAAGACTTCTGCTTGTAATCTTCTAAATGTTTTACAAGTGGCAAAAAAAGGGCAGGGAGAAGAAAAGAACAACCACTATTTAAGATGTTTGTTTTACCAAAGTTTCCTTAGGTTGCCACTGGAATGCTAGCACCAGCTTTTAAACAAATAATTTCACTTTTCTCCCTACCTTTCATCAAAGGCTTGAGATCTATTTATCCCACTCAGTTGTTATTGAATGTTACTAAAACTCTTGTTTCAGGAAAAAAATGACAGCTTTCAGCATGAAATTGAAACCTCTAAGAAAGCATTAGGCTAGAGGAGAAAGCTAAATAACCTTCTGGCTTAGGCAAACGCATTCTGCAGAGAGGGCAGAGATTTCAATTTTTAGCTGATAGCAATGAGAAAGTTTGTTTTCAGCATTTTTCAAATCAAGGCTTAATAAAAACAAACAATAAAACAAAAATGACTGTGGCTTCACCTTATAAGAAAACAGCCAGCCCCATTTCTTTGATTTACGCTGAGGAAACACAAGGACAGTGGCCTGGGATTTTAACAAGAAGCAAAAAAAGTCAACTCGAAACCCCAAAGCAGACCTTTCTAACAGATATCCCTGCTTCCTGTCTCCAACAGCTTGCGAAAACAAAGAAGATATTCATCCCTGCCGGCGGTTCCCCCAACACGTCCCAGCTGCGTGTCCCCGGCCATTGGGCACCACACCTGGGCCCCCACCACAGCTGCTCCCCCCAGCAGTGCCTGGGAAAGGCACCACGAGCCCTCTCTGAGGTCGGCACAGAAATGACGCAGCTCAAAACTCTGCGTGCTGGGCAGCCGTGGAGAAAGCTGATTCACACTGGGGCTGGGGCTGTCACAGGTCCTCAAGGAAGGCGCCATCTCACAGGGCTGCAGTCATCTCTGGGGCCTGGCACAGCAGAAGCTGCAGCTCATTTTGAGGCGTGAATATTTCTGTAATAATAGTAATAATCCAGTTTGCCCCAAATTTGCAGTTTCTGCTCAAACCAAAGTTCATGGGAAACTTTTCTGGGAAAGAGGTCAATCATATGTTTAAAGGAGGGGGGGAAAAAAACTTGCTGTGTGAGTTCACCTGCTTGCGAAGGACGTGAAAGAGTCAAAAGTGAATGCACTGTACCGCTCAGCATGCTGTGCTGAGGCAGAGCAGACATGGTGGTGTCTCCAAGGAGTGCCAAGTTACCCAATGTCTGCCTTCTGAGCTAGCAAGCAATCCTCCTCCGGCTTTCTGTGGCTTTCTTTGGAGAGTTTTGGAGAATTTTGTGCATGAAGAATGTCGAGAGCAATAAAACAAACTCCTCTACTCTGCATCGCTTGAGCAAGGAATACATTTTCTTCTCAAGGCATTGTGCTGATGGATAGATCCCTCACTAACGACACAGTACTGTTCCAGATCCTCAAGCCTGAGCACCACATATCCTTTCATTTCCAATTGGAGTAAACATTATCATTTAATTTTTCATCAGTAATAACATTTTCTTAAACTAACCTGTTCCACTTTGACTAAACAGAGACCTGAAAGGTGTTGTTCAGATTTTTTGTGGGGGGAATGGTTTTGGCCAGGTTCACAGACGAAAACAAGTAGAGAATAACATTCAGGCCTTATGAAAGTAGCTGCTTCACAGATTTAATCTCAAAGTAGTAATCCTCTCAAGGTTTCAGGTATACCCAAATCCTTCTGGAGTAATAGGGATCCGACCAAGGCAGCAGACAGGGACGGCTGTAGCAGAGAAATAGTCCTTCTAGTTTTGAGTTTGAGCTAAAGGCATAACCTTGAAATTCAGCTCCAAACACCTTCGGTACCAAATAATGCTATGTAGGCCTGGTTGTAAATCCCAGTTTCCAGTGAGCAATGACAACTCAGTGAAACGTCTGCAGTAACTTTTTTTAATGTCGGCAAGTAGCTGAGTCTCCCTCCCTCTCCCATCTCGCAATCTCATTCTCATAAATGTTTCCATTCTAGCAGAATTTTTTCCCAGAAAAAGCAACCTCGTAGCAGACGCTCAACATTTCAGCTTGAATTGTTTGGCAAAGTGATAAGCAACTGAAAGTAGCACTTTTTAATGGGAAAAAGTGTTGCGCAGCAGTCTCTGTACCACTCATTATTTTAATCTGTTTGTCTAGCTGTGGTATTACCAAGGCATGTATTACTGTAATATTTAGGGCACAAGCTCAATGTCCATTTATTTTTCCAGCCTTGCTGCAAAGATTTAGCAAAATGAAAAGGGAAGATTTCCTTGTCCCTCATGCTTGGTATATACAGGTTTGGCATCCCAGATAAAGCGTATTGTCAAAGAGAGGGGTCCTTTTGGGAACTCGATACTTCCCTAGAGCCCCAAATGGTCTATTTGAAACATGTGCTGAAACTCTGTGCCTGGTGGTGTTTTAGTTACACATGCTAAGACTAGAATAATTGAGACTCCTCCTTGTGACTGTAATTTGGATTTCTTTCACCTCATGCCCTGGTGATGGAATGCATTACTCACAAACTAATTAGAGCATCTGAATTTATACATCATTATTGATGTCTTTGTTTCTTGCCAAAATAGGTTTGGTGTTTTACAAAGCATGAAAGTGGGCAGCGCCTGCCCCAAGGAAAGGTTGACATGCACACAAGAGGTGTTGGCTTGAACAAAGCTACTTTAATGATTGATGGAAAAAATATTTGGAGGAGAAACAAAGCTTCTTTTCCTTCCAGATGTAATTAGATGAGAAACACAAGAAAGCAATTGTGGATCTAGATTGTGGCAGATAAGGAACATTCAGTAGTGCTAGGTACGTAGTGGAGCGGGCTACGGTCATGTCCACACCTGATCAAGAAAGGTGAATTCAGACCAGACCAGGACAGAGAAGGGCTGATGGACCCAAAGGATAAGGTCATGGTTAACCTATCCCAAGTGAGAACACCTGGAGACTATGGCCTCACAAATGAAGTCAGAAGTATGACAAGAACAGGAAGGGTGCATGGCAGTGTGGGCTGTACAAAACCGCTGGGAACAGCTGCACATGATTCTTCAGGAGCTATTTAAGGTGAATAATGCTGATATGCTGATAGAAGGATTAATGGGGAGTTAGTAGACTTGGAGATATTTAAGCTAGACATCAGAAGCCTGGCAGCATGAGGAGTCTGCAACAACCTTCCCGTGGAAGAGAGCAGAAGGGTGGGGGCAGGGTTGTAGGATGGAACCCAGCCCAGCACGAGGCCAGTGATATGATGCAGACCCCAGAGAAATGGGGTCAGCATTGGTGGAGTCCCTTCCAATACTGATTTTTTTTAAGAAATGGGCAGGAACTGCTAACCTGTCAAGCTGTATTCCCTTGAAAGACAAAGGATATTCTACACAAGATATGCTACTCGTATTTCATATGTTGCATTATGTTACAGGGGATACATTACACCCAAGCTTGTCCTAATACCAGTTTTTCCACCCTATGTATAGGGGACACAACTCAGTGATGTATCTCCCAGTTCCAGTGAATTTACTAATCTATTTTTCCCAGCAGTTTTTCTGAAATCTGATTGCTACCTTCTCTATCTACATGAACCAAAGGTCTAATGCAAGTCTACTGAACTTGAGGAACAGAGGCTGAAGCAACTTGTTGAAGAAGGCCTTGGATGCTCTCTTATTTTGCAAGGCCTGTTCTGCCCACCCGTAAGTAGGGAGAGTCAAGAACGAGACTAATACTTCTCTCTCCTTCTTACTTCTTCTCCCTTTGGTGGAAGCACCTAGCCTTTCTCAGTACACATGAGCTTTGATTTCATCCATTTCCTCCTTGCAAGACATAAGAAAAACTTTATACGTCTCCTCCTCCTCCGTATTAGCCATGAATGGTTAATCACAATCTCTCCTTCCATTAGCAGAAAGGAAAGAATCCGTTTTCAGATATTTCCCTTCATATTTCATTTGCTGTAATTAAACTATTCTTTCAGTGTCCTTGGAAACGAAATAAATTAACTACAGTAACAGCATATACTTTCTCCCCTTGTTATGGGTAAAATGATACTCACCACATCAGCAGAACACGCTGTGCTGGAAGCATTCCAGTCTCTTGAGAAACCTTCTCACAGTTATCATAATATGCAGTCAGCATATATGAACAAAGAATTAGGAAAGTTAAATTTGAAGCAATTCCAGTATTGTGGTTAGACAATGTATATAAATATCTCTTCTATCATACAGCACTCTTGCATTTGCAAAAACATTATCATTTAAAATCACCAGCTGAATACAAATGTTCAAAGTTATTATTTTCATTATTGCTTTTGCCAGTGAATCTGGATCTAGTTCCTGTTCTCAATCACTGAGTAGTTGTGGATGGTTGGATCACTCCATTTTAGCTAGCAAAGGAAGTGGTTAGGTATTACTCTTATCTCTTTCTCCACCTATATGAATATGCATATGCATAAACAGCTGATTTGTTTTCAAATTTTTAGGTGAATCTTAATAACACACTACATGAAATTAATACTTCACACCTTGATCACATAAAACCACAGTTAAAATTGTTCAATGCGTTTTTGCCAAGAGTAAGTGACGGCAGGAGTTTTGAATGGCCTGTGTCCTGTAAAGATGCCAGCCCAGGTAAATCAAAATCAGTCCACTGAAGTGAAATCGAAGTTAATAGCAGGAAAATTTCTTGAAATTTTCATCTTGGAACGCACCTTGGGTGCAGCCCCAAAGCCCCGAATGCTTTATATTTAAGAAAGGCTGGTCTGTGCTGCTTTCAGATTAATTTATAGGCATTATCAGTTTTCTCAGGCCCTTCAATGAAACATGGCATTGATTCAGCAACTGAAAGAGATAAATGGAATAAATAGTATTTGGGATCTGGGTCTCAGAGTTCATCAAAGCTGTCTGCTTGGCATAGTTGCTTCTAATGTGAAAAGATGATATTATCACACTTAAAATAGACACAGCCGGAAAGCAATTGAAATAAATAAACAGTGGATCCCCCTGAGATAAACTGAGAGGCTCTTCACTTCGGTTTAAGAAGAAATATTTATCCCTTGTTCCCATAAATCTCCTCATTTGCACACATGCACACATGTATGCTAATTCTCATTTGTACCTCTGTTCCTTCACAATGGGAATAAAATCCCATGGAAAGACTCCTCTGGCTCCCCATGTACCCAGAAACGTGAGGTATGATAACTGAATGTGACCTTGATCACAAAGCTGTGGAGTGTCTCTTTGCTGAATCACTCTTGCCTTTTAAAAACCATCGGGCAACGTAAGGACTGTTGAACTGATCAGCTACTGTGCATGGGAGGGAAGAAGGGGAAAGAAGGGGCAAGTTTTACAAAAAAACAACAAAGCAAAGCAAAATCAACAGCCTATCATCCTTCCGCAAAATACGCCAGAGGATTTCAGACCTTAGATTGCTGAAGGCCCTCCAGTTCTGCTCCAGCCATAAATATGTGAGCAAGTTAAGCTCCCCGTGGTTTTGGCCAATCCCAGCCATGTTTAGTCTTAATCTGTCTCAATCACTAGCTACCTTTTAAAAATAGCATTCTGTGGTTCCAAAACATCTTTAGTTAATCCTTGCTTAGTTTGGAAAGGAATTATATTTGGAAGGATGCACATGTCCGTGTGGCTTTGATGGATACTCCCTTTACTGTTCTCATCCATCACACATTTTCTTGAACTACAATATATAATTCTCCAGCATCAGGCTACTGAGCACTGGATCCTTACGCAGTATGTTTTCGTTCAGAGGAACCCAGATCCTGTAGTAGATGAAAAATAAAATTCTTGAAACTGTGCCAAGTTGATATGTGGATGTTCTTGGATCTTCTCCATAATGTAAGTCAGAGGCATTGGTGCTGCTTACCACACAAGAAGCTAAGGAAAGAGAAGTAAGAATTTTATAATATTTCAAAGATCTTTTCTACACGCCTACAAATGTCTCTGGAAAAGCCCTGACATTTCATTTGGAGTTGTAGCTCTCTCTGCAGAACAAGAACTTGGCTTTAATTACTGGACGTAAGGAAAACAGTTTCTGAGATTAGTTTTCAGTTCATGGATAATTGACAGAAAGTGTTTTAAATAGTTCATTTCAGGACATCTTCTGCACTCTTTTCTCAAGTGAAACATTAATTTTCATTTCTCATTCCCTTCTCAAATTAGAGCAGCGTAAGAGACTGCAAGTCTTGAGAAATCTGGCCTGAAATTCTCTCTTTATATTTCTTAAGCAAAAACTTCTTTCTTTCCACTTCACCTTTTAGATATTCTATTGATATTTTTCACCAGTCTTATTATTCCAGAATAGTACTAAGCACATCATTACTCCTAAGCACAGTCTATTTTTGCTAAAAGAGAAGTTCTCTCTCATGCAGAGAGCATATGCATTGCTCAACCTCTCTTAAGATCTTAAAACAGATATGCGGATATGCATATGCATATGCAGCTGTATTTGCATCACCAGCTGTCTGCAGAAAGGTAGATTTTGTATGTAGGAGAAAACTCTTGAAACTGAATACAACAGTGTCATCATATTCCACTCTGGACAGAACTCATGTAACAGAACTCATTGTCATAACTGGCAACGGGTGCTTCTCTCTCAAATGAGTACTTTTCAGAAGGGTGTACAGGCCAGTGTGCGCTAAACATAAAGGCTCTTAAATGACATTGTCATTTTTATAACTCCAGTATTTCGTGGAAAAAACTATTACATGGTTTCCGCATCTAGATCTCAGAATTTCTAGGAGAATCAGGTGGGGAAACAAATCCTCTGCTTGACCGTGTGAGTACGTGCTAATGTAGCTGATGTGCACACATCTGAGACCACAGATGGAAAACAGTTTGCACATAAATTTGTGGATAAGCAAAACAGGCAGTGCAATTTTAGAAGTCAGATCAAAACCACTTACAAAAGAACTTGCAGAAGTTTGGCTCTAAATTTTGTGAGGTTTCATTTCCATGCTTTTTTTTTTTTTTTTTTTTGAACACTAAATTATAGTGGCCTACAGAAGCAAATGCACAGGCATAATATGCAAAGAGCACAAAACCAACTCTATGCTGTGCTGTCTGTGCAATTCAAAACAACTCAGTATTAAACTCCAGAACACATGCAATTACATAGAACATGAAAACCTCAGAATAAAAAATAGAAGAATCCTCAGATTAGTTCTGGTTTGTGAATCAATTTCCATTTCTCTTATTTCTACTGAACAACTGGAACTGAAAAGCAATAAAACCCAGGAAGTGCCACAGTAAGGGATTTTTGCAGTTTCTCGACTAGCACAGACCAACTTGGTGGGGGGGAGGAGAATGATATCAGCAATTTCCAAAGCCATTCGAAGTTTCTTATATTATTCAAACCACATTGGTAGAATCACCCCTAAGAATTATGTTACATGTGGTGCCTAGTAGCCACTCAGGTTCAGTTCGGTAGCAAACTGTGATTTGTGCAGCCATCCATAGTGTATGATGCCATGAAGAGCTGCTGCCCCTACTCCCAGCACACGGTGCAGATGGCCCCAGAAACAGCACTGCACTTGGCTACAGTAGAGGGGTACAGTCCAAAAAATGGATTTAAGAGTAACTAGAGGAAGCTTCAGGAAACGGAAACTATGGTTTCATGTTTTCATGAGATATTCATAAATACCCATAGCTCAGGGGAGTTTTATAATGACTTTTTAAACCAATTTTGTTTAATGATTTAGGATGATCTTCTGGGAGCTCCCGTGGGAACAAGATTTGCAGGCTAAGGTGCTGCCGTAGTGCCTGTCCCGGGAAAATGCTCCTGGAAACAACTCTGTTACAAAAAAACAAAAACAGGGGAGCTCTCTCTTTGGCATCATCTTTATCCCAGTGAATGGGATTTCTCTGGCATTAGGCCACTCTCCAGCAACAGGAGGGTAGCAGTGTTTAGTCCAATGTCAATACATATATTTGCTTATTTTCTTTTTTTATGGTGTGCAGGAAGTTATTGTGCAGCCACTGGATAAGTAGGATTTAGGAGAGGATTTTCATCCCCAAAACATGTTCATTCCTGAGCGGTAGAGGCCACTTTCACAGTGAATCGAAGGGATGCAGAGCCTTGTTGTTTGCCACAAACTGGCAGGTCGCTCCACCTCACCCAACAGCCCTCTTGGTGACAACATCCCCACTGCTTCTAGCCACGAAAGGACTCCTCACCGCAGGGCTCAGGCATGGATTTTCTCTGAGGAATATCCAAGTACTTTGCCTTGTTTGAAGCTATTCATTCTTATATTTATACTTCCACACCCGGAAAAGGACACCTGGCCCAGGGGCTGTTTTGTCCGCGGGGCCCATTGCTGCCCCTTGGCTCTGCTGCCGCCCCCAGACCCACAGTGAGGCACCCTGCACTCTGACTGCACTGCGTGTTGTGACTGTTGGGACCTACCCACCTCATGTCCCACCTCCAGAAATGGAAACGGGCCCTCTGGAAGGATGAGATTTCACTCCGAGGAACCAGCAATGGGATCTGGGCTACTCTTGGTCTTCTTGAAGCTGGCTTTGATACCCATTTCAGCTCTCCAATGTGCTGCTGTATGTCAAAGGCACATGACTTTCCAGATTTCTGTGTTTGTCATATTTGTATTGAATGAGTCCCAGAAGAAGAAAAAGGGAGTAATTTGAAAAACTTAAGCAGTAAAAATTACTGAACTTTTTACAGAACTCTTAAAAAGTGATGACATCAAAGCAAAAAAGGCAAGGGGTGCTGGAAGTTACACACCAGGTTTTATTCCTCAGTATATGCATGCACCATTGCAGTTTATGATTTTACTTAAACCAGGAGAGGCTGGGGAAGGTGGGTCCTGGTCTACTCGTGCATAGTCTTTCCCGACCTAGCCAGGCAGCCACCGGGCTAGGGGAAGCCGGCTGGAAGGGGGAGTTGCACCCACTTTAGGTATCCTTTGACTCCCAGATGAATTTCGTTCATTATATTTAGGTCATTAACAGTAAACAAAGTCTAAGTGCTCCAAATATCCATTACATGTCTGTGCTCAGGTAGCCTAGACCCAGTCACCCACTGACCGCACTGAAGTGC